GGGCACAGGGGAGGCTGTCAAGATGGCACAGGCGACCACCCCACTGGCTCACTTTCACAGCTGCCCCTTTACAAACCGGTGACCCATACTCGCCTTCCCCCTGAGACAGGCATGAAGAGAAATCGCCACTTTTTAGACGTTGTTTCCACTGTCTGATAAACTCCTTCACTTTGTAACTGAAAAAACGGCCCAGCTGAGAAGAGAAGGGCTCCTGCCTAGTTGGGAGACCACTCAGTCCGAGCCAGGGGCCACGCGCAGGGGCTGCTGTGCGTGGGCTCAGCCGGTCTGAGAACGGGCAGGCTGCTGACAGGGGCCAGCACGACGACACTGAACCCTCCCCTGCCAGGAGAGTGTGGGCAGGGGTCCTGTCCGGCCGGCCCACCACTTCACCCGGGCCTGAGCACGGGGCCTGGCATATCACAGGCCGTCGTGCATCCTTGTTGAGTGAGTGGGTCTCCCTAGGTACCCTGTCTCACCAAATCCCTGCCAGCTTCCCCGGGTGACAGGACCCACATGTGGTCCTGGGCCGGCCTCCATCTCAGCAAGGCCTCTGGACCCCCTCTAGGCTCCAACCTCGGTGACCACCTCCAGCCGTTTTCCAGCTGGAGAGCAAGAAACCCCCAAATCAGTGATGTGAACAGACTGCCAGACACTCCACCGAAATCGCATTAATTTGGACAGGCGCTCGGCAGCCTCCAGAGCGCTAGGTGGCTCCTGGCTAAGACGGCAGCTCAAATCCCAGGCCCTTCCTCGGAGCCAACCCTGCGCAAGCGCTTCAGAATCGCAAGGGTTTCTGCTCCCAGCTAACCCGGCCACGACCCCGGCTCACCTTCCCCCGTGTTAGTGCCCTGGACTAACGACTAATGACGACTGCTGGGGGTTGAACAATGTCCCCAAAATATGCGAAGTCCTCACCCCTGTCACCTGTGACTACGAGCACAGCTGCAATAGGGTCTTCACAGGTGTGACCAAGTTAAGGTGAAGCCGTTAGGCTGGGTCCTGACCCGATGACCAGCTGGGTCAGGGTGTCCTTACAAGCAGAGAGAAACGCCAGGTGATGACAGAGACACCAAGGAGAAGCTGTGTGAGGACGGAGTCAGAGACTGCAGGGCTGTGGCCACAAGCCCAGGACATCTGGGGGAACCTTACCCCCGAGCCCTCCCAGGAGCAAGGCCCTGCCCACGCCCTGACTCAGGCTGTAACTTCCAGGACTGTGAGAGGAAACCCTGCTGCTGCCTGAAGCCTCCAAGCCCCCCCTGGAGAGAGGAGGGCCAACATGACAGAGGAGGGCGCAGCGGTCTGGTGGGGCAGGAAGAGGACCTGCAAGCCTGTGTCTGACCCATCCGGAGAAGCCCAGAAACTGGGTAAGCGCTAGGTGACTGTGGTGTCGAAATGAAAGCAAAGTTCTAGGGAGGAAGGTAAGGATCCTGATGAGTCGCTCACTGGCTTGGCAGCAACAGCCGCACCAGACTGTGCCCTGAGCATGAAACACAAACTCCCCACCGTGGGCTGAGCTGTGAGCACACCCTGGGCAACCGGGATGTAACACAAGTCCTCACTCCCCGGGCCGGGCCACCGCCACCCTCGCTGAGCCCTGGCCACCCAGCAGACCTCACAACAGCCCCTCCGGCAGGTAGTACCTAACACAAACCCATCTCACAGAGAAGCAAACTGAGGCTCAGAGAGGCTGTGCCACCTGCTCTGAGTCACAGAGCTCCTGAGAGGTGGAGCTGGAATTCCAACCAGGTCTGTCCCCAAAGCCTGGGTCAGACCACCACACTCATGACACAGACTTTGGGAAAAGACCCTCAGGATTCTCTCCATTCCCCAGAACAACTTACCCTCGAAGTCCACAGCCTATAGCTGGCAGCCCCCTTTGCTACTTAGCAGCGACTACCTGCAGCCCTGCCTCTGGGCCCAGGGAGCACAGAGGGAAATGGACAGTGCCCACCCTAGGAGCCTGCCATCTGTCAGGGGAGGGTCAGTGACTCTCAGACCCAAGGGCTGGGCCCTGTGCTCGGCAGCAGAAACCGAGGAGGGACAGAGTCTGGGTGGGCAGGTGCGGCCCTGCGACATCTGAACAGGGATTTGAAGGCCAAGTGGGAGGGAGGGGCAGGAGAGGGCTCCTTGCACAGGCCAGGCCAGGGGAGGAGGGACACAGGGACCATGGAGGGTGCAGCGGGAACACCGAAGGGCACCTGACTTGTGCCACATCCCAGCCTGTTCTGTGTCCTCCAGAGCTTGGGCCCCTGCACACACTCTTCAGAAGCGGCGCAAGCGCCATCAAGCCCATCGCCAGGCAGGGCTCCTGGTTACAGGCGCTTCATTGCATCCTCCCATTCGAACAGCTTCGTGGGCCAGGCTGCTGGCCTGTCGGGTTCACAGGGAGGGCCTGGCCCCCAACCAGGGCGCCTGAACTGTTTGCTGAATGACACACGGCCTGCCCAGCACCACACACAGGGCTGCGGGACCGGGAGAGGAGGGCACAGCGCAGGCCTGGCTGTAGGTGAGCGGGACCCTCGAGGCCTCACACAGCGGACGTCCCTGCCACTCTGCCCTGGCGTGTCGGAGTGACTCGAATGGGACCTGGCGTGAAGGGAGGACTGTCCTCGGGCTGATGGCTGCCAGGAGACAGGACCACTCCGTTGGAGAGTCTGCCGGCTAAGGAAAGCAGGCTTTGGGGCAGGGGGCACAGACTAGAGGAGCAGAGCTCAGGGGTGGGGGTGGCCCTGAGATGGGCTGAGGCGCTCCTAGAAATGAAATCAGGGCAGGGGGAGTGCCTGCGACCTGGGATGTGACAGGCCCAGGGGCCCTGAGCTCAGAGTGGACAAAGGAGGCAGGGGTAATGGGGGGCCTCCAGTGACCAGTAGCTGTGGGATGGGGGGCTGGGACGTCTGGCCTGGTGTGGGAGACTCTGGGGCTAGATGTCACAGTACAGGGAAGATGGTCCTGTACTGTGGAGGGGGTCACCCAGTTTAGAGAACGAAGGGGAACCCAGAGGGGGTGTTTGTGAGTCCCTGTGTCAGCAGGACTGGTAACAGTGGGCTGGGGAGGGGTGTGTGTCTGGAGCTGACAGGGCTCTGTGTCTGGGGGCTGATAAGGGCTGAGGGAACCCCAGACTCATGTTCAGGGGACTGACAAGATTGAGAGGACCCTGACCCCGTATTCAGGGGTGGCAGAATTAAGGGGACCATGACCCTTAAGTCTGGGGACTCACGGGGCCCGAGGAGACCCTAACATCCGTGTCCAGGGAGTTGACAGCTTGCAGATGACTCCCGACTCTGACATCTTAGGATGGTGGGGCCCAGCCAAGACTCCCTTCTGGGGCTGGCAAGGCGCAGGACACCCCAACCCTCTGTCCCTCACTGACAGGGCCCAGGACACCCCAACTGGTGTCTGGGGCTCACAGGGGATCAGGGTCACCTCCCGGTCTCCAAGTCCTACGCTGACAGGTCACTCAAACCCTGTGGCACGAGCTGACCCTGATCTTCTGTAGGTCACCTCAACCCCACATTATGAGCTGAGCCAGCCCAGGGCCACCTGCCACCCTGCTCACTGTGCTGATGGCCCCCAGGTCACCCCGACCCTGTGTCCCGGGCTGTCAGGCCCCCAGGCCACCTCAACTCCTTGCCTGGGCGACTCCACTGCCTCCAACCCTGAGTCCTGGGTGACTCCGCCAGGTGACCCCGATCTCCGCGGTGACCCAGCCCCAGGCCACCCCGCCGCCCCCCAGGCCCCAGGTGACCCGGGCCACACTCACCTCTGGCGCTGCCCGTCCAAACCCAGGCTCAGGCCGAGGCCCAAGCCGGCGGGCGCGGGCGCGGGGCTGAGCAGGCCCTGGGGCGCCGAGGCCCGGCCCGCGGGTCCGGGCGGGGCAGGCCGGCGGGGGGCGCGGGCGGCGGCGGCGGCGGTGGCGGCGGCGGCGCGGGCGGCTCGCGGGCCTCGGTGGGCGGCGGCGGCGGCGGGGGCTTCTCGCCGCCCGGGCCCAGGCTCGGGGGCCGCCCGTCCAGGGAGATGTTGTTGAGAAAGAAGAGCGCGGCCTGGCGGCGCCGCGAATCCCCTCGCCGCCGCAGCGCCTGCGGCGCGGCCCGGGCAGCAGGGCCGGGGGACTGACCCGGAGAACCACCCGCCGCAGCCGCGGCCATCCTCCGACTGAGCCCGCCGCCCGCCCGCCACCGCCCTCCAGCTCGCGCATGCGCCCGCGCCCGCCGCCCATTGGCCGGGGCGCACCCGTATGCAAATACATCGCCGTCACGCCCGCCCATTGGCCAGCGCGGGGCGGGGGGGGAGCGGCTCCCTTGGGTCCTAGAGTGGGTTCCGAGGCGGCCAAGGGGGAGCCGGGAGAAGCCGCGAGGCCTGGCTCTGGGCGAGCGGTGGAGGTACCGCGGGTTCGAGTCCCTGACTCGGAAGTCGCGGCCCCGGGGCGCCAGTGCTCTGTTCCACTTGCTGGGCTGTCGCGTTCGTGGTCAGCGTTCTTAAAGCCTCGTCTTTAGGCTCCAGCGCACTTCCCCTCTTGGGGTGTGTGTCTTTGCGGGGGCGGGGGTCTCACGTGCGGGCGCTGGAGCTGTACCACCCTCGGGAGCCCCAGGAATGGCCAGCGGTGCCCCCTGACCTCCCCCAGTGACTGAAGACGACACCGCGAGTCCGAGGGGAGAAGGCACCTGCCTGGGGTGGCAGGCAGGCGGGCGGTGCTGGGCCTTCAGCCCCAGACAGAGTCCTGCATGGCCGTCAGCAGCAAAGCGACCTTGAGTCTGGGGGCGGGGGTGCCAGGTCTGTTTCCTTTTCTGTACTGGGACCCCCAACTTCAGAGCCGGTGGCTTCATGCTCAGGTGCTGCCTTCTGGAGCCCCCAGGAGCCCACCTGTGTCTTGGGGGACAGGGTCCTGCAGCCACCTCTGTGCCACGGGCCTGCTCTGTCCAGCTGTGTGCCTGTGGGCTTACTTATCCTTCAGGTGGGGGACGCTGATTTCCACCTCAGCGTATGGTCAGGGTTGAGTGGGCTCAGCCCGGGGCTGTCACCAGCGCTGGGGCTTCCCGGCGGTTGGAGACCGGCACTTGCCGTGTGGTTTGTCCATGCAGCTGTGAATGCTCCTCCGTGGAACCATACACGGCACACGCATTTCTCTCCTCCGTGCAGGTGTTGGGGGGCGGGGCAGACACAGCCCTGGCCTGCAGAGCGCCTCCTAGCGAGCGGGAGGCCGGTATCATCATCGTGGATCAGGGCCCCAGGGCCTGGCCCTGCTGGCCAGCTGTTACCAGTAGGAGGACCCTGGCAGGTTGGGGCGGGGGCGGGCTGCCAAACTGGTAGCTAATAGTTAAGCGGATGTCAGATGAGGAAAATGAAAAGGGGCGGTGGGAGGATGAAGCGATGGAGGGCTGTTATTTGGTTATTGGCCCTCAGCTCCAAAACCATGCTGTCTGCTGCCTGATAATGGAGCTGGGCCCTGTAGACTTTTCTCCTGTGCCAATTGGCATTACGTTAAACTTCGGTGGTGCCGCAGGGACACGGTGGGGGCGGGGGGAGTGGGCGTGGTCTTCTTCCAGGTTCTGTGTCGGGTGGAAGCCTGGGTGAGCTGCCCTGTGTGCCCTGTGGCGGTGCAGATGGCTCACAGGCCAGTGGACCAGGGACCCAGAATGTGGAGGGGCTCTGTGTGGGGCCTGGCGGACATCCCCTGTTGTGTTCCCACAGCCCTCCCCAGAGGTTGCCCTGGTCCCTGTTATGCTCTGCAGATGGGGCTGGTTTTGATCCTGCCCTTCAGAAAGGGAGTGACTTCCCATCCCTGGGCACATTCAAGAGCCTCTTGCGTCACCTGCCCAGGCAGGTGGAAGCCCAGATGACCCCCGACCCTGCCAGCTGCACACGCCATCCTTCATTACACTTTATTCTCCGGGTGCCCTGGGACCGGCGCCCCCTCCGCCCCCCACCCCCGCTTCCAGGTGCTGCCGTCATCCTTCCTGCGCCTTCACTGCCCAGCACCCGTTTGTGGGACTCCACGAGGGGGCGCCCGAGACCACTGCTCAGAGCTCCATGCCCCGTCAGGAATGGGCGGCCAGGCTCGCAGCCCCTTGTGTCCAGGATGCTAGTGGAGTTGGTGGGAGGAGGGGGCACTGTCCAGGAAGGGCTGCCTGTGCACAGCAGGGGTGGGGGCGGGGCGGGGCTGGAGCTTGAGCCGCCCTGGCCTCCCAGGCCCCTACTCCCTGCAAGGGAGCAGATGCTGGGCTGAGGGTGGCGTGCAAGACCATTTCTGAGATGGAGGGGTTCAGAAGACCAGCTTTCTTGGCCTTCCCAACCCCTTTGGATGTGGGCCAGGACCCAGTCCGCTACGCTGCTGCTGGGGCCGTCTGCTGGCTGGCGGCGTGGGCTGTCCTGGCCGCGGGCAGTCGGGTGGGGAGCACGGCTGGGCAGGCTGGGGTGCCCCTGGCTCTCTTCCCAGCTGCTGGTGCTGGGTGAGGGGCTGCCGTCCTTGGGGTCCCTCGGGCTCCTGGCTCCCCTAGGTTCCTTACTCCTCAGGATGGCTTCTTCGAGGCTGTGGGAAGTGGACCGAGGTTAGACCAGGAGGCGCAGTAGTGGCCTTGTGTGTCCTCTTTTGCAGCAACACTGGGCTCTCACCCAGGGCCTCGTGGGCAGTTTCTGGGAACTCAAGAGCCCACACTTGTTTGCAACAGCAACGGACACCAGGGCAGGGTGGCCCGATTGGAGGGTGAGCCTTGGGAATTTGGTGGAAGCACAGACCCTCTCCCCAGGTGTGATCCTAGAATCAGCCTGGCCCCAATGCCTCCCTTGCCACCTTGCAGAGGGTCTGGGACATTCTGGATAAGCCGAGCTCACGGGGAAATTCTCTCAGAATCCCCAAGACATGGGCTAGGTGCTTCCATGGGCCTGCCTCTGCGGCCGCAGGGAACGGGCATCTGGTTCTTGAGACCCTTACAGGTGGGACATGCCGAGATGCTGGGCTTCAGGCCCGTCTCTGATGCAGAACCAACTCTAGGTTCTAGGTCAGACAGATCAGGTTGGAATCCTGACCCCATGTACCAGCTCTGTAACCCTGGGCAAGTTACCCCATCTCTGAGCCTCAGTTTCCCCATCTGTGAAACAGTGATGATTCATCACTGGGCTGGGTCATGAGGCCCAAAGGCAGTAACGACTGGACGCTGTCTTGAACTGCTCCATGCGCACAAGATACAAGGGCGCTGCCCCTGGCGCTGAGCCATGTGGCACAAGCTGGGCAAGGGTCCTGTCCTCACTGATCAGCCCTGTGGGTGTTGGGGGGCGTGAGTGCCTGCTGGGGAGGCCCTGCCCTGGCCCGGGTGGGCGGGTGAAGGTGGGAGTGGGCTTGACTCAGTGTGGAGGGTGGGGGCGGACACGGTGCACCCCTTTGGACCACGCCCACCAGGACAGCTTCCAAAAATGCCCAGTGGGATGTGCCACGAGATCACACAGGCGTGCTGGCCTTCTCCACCGCTCACCCGGCAAACACAGGCTGCGGTCACCTTCCCGGCAACAATGGCGCATTGTGGCGGCCACAGCCCAGCCTGCGACGCAGGCCTGCTTGGACAAACACCAGGCGGCATGCAGTATCAGCTAGCTCAGGCGTTCTAAGGCTCTCGTGGGCGCCCAGAGGCCTGGCCTGAGCTGCCACTGTGGCCGGAGCAGGAAGTGGGAGGATGTCCTGATACCCGAGGCTGGAGCGGGGGGTGGGGGAAGCCCACAGGTACCACCCTTGGCGAGCACGTGAGCGGCCCCCGAACCCCCAGAGGGAACAAACACACAAGAGGGTCCAGGAGTGCCCACCCCATCCCGTGGGACTGGGACAGGGGGAGGGGTTCAGGACCACCAGGCCTGGGGGCTGCTCATGGCCCAGGACGCCCCTTCTCCCCTGTGACAACGAAGACGATACGACCATCCCCAGCTGTGTCCCTGGAATCTCACGATAGCCCTGGTATTGCCCCCTTTCCAAAGGGAAGCAGGCTGGGGGTGAAAGGGCCAGCCCGTGAGGAGAAGTGCAGTCAGGGTTCACGCAGGCCTGACCCGGGTCTCTGTCACAGGGCTGCTCCGGGAGAGGCTCCAGGGCTGGCTGCTGGGCTCCAAGTAGCCAGAAAGGTGGGGTGGGGGCATCAGTGCTGTGGCCGCCCCACCCAGCCCTGGCCGCCCACCTTTGCTCCACTGGTCTGAGGCCCGCTTCCTCTTCTGTGGGCCCCGCCCATGCTCCGTGGCGCAGAAACTCCTGGGTCCCTCGGCTGGCAAGCTCTGCATGGCCCCTGCCTCGGTGCTCAGGCCCACCTGATGGGGTGGGGGTGTGGTCATGCTGAGGACCCTCCCCGAAGCCTGGGGCAGCCCTGGTGCCCCCACCCCACCCCACTGTGTGGCCGGGCACCCACCTCGCTGTCCGAGGTGTCTGGCTTGTCTAGCTCATCCGACTCCGGCCGCTGTCCTTGGGCTTTGCTGAGCTCTGCAGGATGCAGGGTGTGGGTCAGGCCAGGCTGGTGGCCTGGGAGTCTAGCGGAAGCACAGGCCTCTAACCTGCCGTACTAGGACCAGTGGCAACAACTCTTCAGATGAGGAAACTGAGGCACAGAGGGACCAAGGAACCTGCCTTGGGGTTGAATCCAGGCCCAGTGTCTCCAGCACCCGTACAATGACCCCACCAGCTGGAGTGTCCCCTGGCTTGGTTGCTGGGTGACGGTGAACTCCCTACCTGCCCGGAAGCCCTAATTGTTAAGATGCTCTCCTTTCATTGCCTGTGGTCAGAAGCATGCCCTCCCTGAGCCCCCAACTGCTTTCTGGGTCTGTAGGTGGGGGGAAGCAAGTCCGAGACCCAGGGTTTGGTTGGTCAGGCCCCGGGTGCTGAGCCAGGTCCTGGGATCGGGGCCCCCAGCTGATGCTGACCACCGCAACTCCCGCCCCGCTGCGGCACCACTTCCTGTGTTCTCGAGACACCAGTACTCACCCTCACCCAGGTGGCCATCTCCATCAGGCCTTTGCAGGCAGGGGGGCAGTTCTGGCCCCCCTCTGTCCTCATGTCCTGGCCCACTTGGAGGGGGCAGGCTGGGGCCTGGGAGAGAATGTGAGGGTTCCTGGGGGGAAGCAAGTAAGTGACTTGAGTTCACATGAGGCAACTTCCCTGCCCTTGCCCGGCTCTGGGCGCAGCCTGCGGGACCCTGGCTGGGGCTGGAGGGTCATCCGTCTCCCGTGTGGTGTGACTCAGGCGGCCAGGCTCTCCCCCTGGGAACCGGCTGGTGGAACAGAGGGAGGAGAGCAGCCCAGGGCTCCTGGGTGCTCTGGGCGGGGCGCGTGGAGGCCAGGAACAGGGCTTGGTCCCTTTACCGTGGAAGGTGGAGGCTCTTCCGCCTCTGCCTCTTCGGCCCCCTTGGTGCAGTCGCCAAGCCCCTGGACCCCAGACTGTGCAGAGGGCTCCACTCCCTGGGGTGGCTTGGGGCTGGGCGTGTGGGCACCTGGGGGGCTGAGTGATCCTGGCTGGCTGGCAGGCTTGGGGGCGCCGTCCCGGCCCCGGCCCCACTCCGAGAGGTCCAGGGGCTTGTCTGGGACATAGTCCTGTGTGGCCGAGGCCTCCTTTGTCCCGGGACTGCCTGGGCCTGCGGGCTGTGGGTGCTGCCCTCTGGGCAGGGCTGCCCAGGCTGCCCCGCCCCCGGGACCCTCGGAGTGGGGGCCGGCTGGCGGGGAGGGTGGCGCCTTCCCCGGCACCAGTGGGCCCCTCAGCCCGGCACCGCCTGCCCGCCCCCGCGCCCACAGCTGCTGGGCCAGGAGCAGGTGCAGCGCTCCCTCCAGCCGCGGGTCCCGCACGCCCGCCAGGGCGCCTGGCAGGCCTAGCAGACCCACGGGCTCCTCCCAGGCCTCTGCCTCCCCGGCCTTGAGGCTCGGGGGCTGGGGGCCTCTGGGGGCTGTGGCGGGGGCCTGGGGGCCGCTGTGAGGGCTCCCACGGGGCAGGGCCAGGTGGCGGTTCAGGTGGCAGAGGCGGTCAGCCTGGAGGGAGCTCTTCGGGGACTCGCAGGGCTTGGCAGAGGGCAGAGAGGCCTGCAGGAAGCTGTGGGCGAGGAGGAGCCTGCTGACCATGGCCCACGGTCACCCCCGTTTCACAGGGAGGACCGGGGGCCCGGGGATGCGAGGCGAGTGCCCAGGTCACACGGTGGGTAGCTGGGAGGGGAACGCCCGGGCCCCCTGGGCAGAGTTGACCTGGGGCCTGGGGCCTCTGAGGAGGGACCTGGCCACCAAGGCCTCTCCCTCTTCTGGGCGTCGGCTGCCTGCCCGGTTCCCCTGGAGCACCCAGCCCACCCGTGGGCCCGCTGCAGCCCCGCCCCCAGTCTCCTCTCAGACGCTGAGAGTGGTCTCAGACCATGGTGAGACCCTTTGCGTGGGCTCTTCTGCGGGGGCTCTCGGTCCCCATCTCCAACCCCCATGTCCCCCTGTCCCTCCCTGGCCATTCAGGAGATGGCCACGTGGGAACTGTGCTACGGGCAGGGTAGCTGGGAAGGCCAAGCCAGGGAAGGGTGGGGCTCCTGGAGGGATAATGGGAGAGGTTCCCCTGGGCTACTGGCCCCTTCCCCAAAGGTGGGACCAGAGTAGGAGACTGGGTACCCGACTGAGGCTGCTCCCGGTGGCGGCGGTGGGCTGGGCCTCACCTGTCCAGAGGGAGGCTGTGCTCTCCAGATGGGCTTGGGGGGCTGCTCCTGGGGGGCGGCAGTGGGGACGTCCCGTTGACGGAGCCCCGGTTGGCGGAGCAGGCCCGGGACCCTGGCCGCACCACGGCGATGGTCCCGTGTAGCTGGTTGGAGATGTGCTGGGGGCTCTGCCCGGGGTAGCTGGGTCAGCCTGGGGGCGGTTGGCTGCTGCCCTCTGCCCTTTTCTCTGTGCGACCTTGGGCAGGTCACCCACCCGCTCTGAGCCTCGCCTCCACCCATGTCACAAGGAGCTCAGGGGTCCCTGCTTGGCACGGGCCATGTGCGTGGCACATAGCAGGGCTGGCGGCTGGCGGCTGCCAGCCTCCTGCCTCGGGCTGCCCGGGGAGAGGAAGGAGTGGGCTCTGAGTCCCTCTCCCTCACCATGTCCGGGGCCCGGGGCTCAGGCAGGTTGGCACCTGGGGAGATTTTGGCTACTGGAGACGTCCCGTACCCCACCGGCCTTTCTGTGGGAGGAGAAGCAGAGGGTGGGATGGTTGGGAGGTGCTCAGAGGGGCCAGCTCAGCGCAGAGGGCTCCCCGGTCCTGGGGCTCCAGTCTCCTGGCCTCCCCTGCCCCCCAGCAGCCCCTCCTCCCCGTGGACCCGCACCTGCGTGGCCGTCCTCCACCTCCTCATGGCCTTCCAGTGGCTTCTCAGTGACGGCCTTCCGGGTGCCCAGGGAGGGGAGCAGCAGGGGTGACAGGGGTCCTGGGGCACCCTCCCTGAACTGGGGCTTGGCCCTGTCTCGAGAGGGGAGGCAAGGACAGGGTGGGTAAGGGAGGGCAGTGTCCCAGAGGCGATCAGAAAGGCCAGGACGCCCTCCTGGGGACCCAGGTGACCAGGAAAGACCACCATCGTCGGCTCACACCGATGTCCCCGTGGAGCCCAGGCATCAGAGCTGCCGTGGGTGCTGGGGCCCAGCTCCGCTTCTAGGACCTGTGCTTGCAGACCAGGGGAGGTCGCATCTGCTCTGGGGAGCTGGCCTGCGGGAGCCCCTCCCCTCTGCGCCGCGTGCGTGCCTGGGGCCCGTGGACGTGCTGGGCGCCTGCTGTGGCTGAGGTGTGCGGGGTGAGGGTTGCTGGGCCCTGGTGCCCCCCCCCACTCACCCTGGGCCCCGGAGCTGCTTCACCTCCTCCTTCAAGGCGTCGTTCTCCTCCTGCAGCCGGGTCAGCTCGGCCGCTGCAGAAGGCTCCGATTAGGAGGGACTGGGGGAGGGGAAGCAGGGCGGGGTGGGGCCCCACAGCCCCCAGGGACACCCCCCACCCCGCCCTCGCGCCGAGAGGAAGGGGCGTGTCGTCATCGGCAGACCCTATGAGACCTCACGGCTCCGCAGGACCCTCCTCATCATGGGAAGGTGGGAGCTGAGGCCCCGAGAGGGCAGGGACGCCCCCTGCCTGGGTAACTGACCAGTGGGGGGCATGTGGGCGCCAGCGGGGGGCTTTGCACCATTTGTCTGTGAGTTGGGGTGTGGGTATCCCGCCCCACCGATGGCGTGGGCCAGATCGCATCTTCCCCTTTCCCCGAGACCCCTCGTCGGGCTGGGCAGGCCCTGGGGGATCGCCGGCCCCCACGGGAGGGACTCCGGGGCTGGGCTCACTGAGTAGGAAGACATGCTGCAGGCTCTGGAGCAGGGAGCTCTCGAACTCCTGCTGCTTCTTCCTGGCCAGCTCCTGGGTGACCATGCAGCGGTCGCACAGGCCGGCCCGCAGCCTGCGGGGGTGAGGAGGCGAGAGGCTGCTCTGAGCAGGGAGACTGGGACCCGCACTGCCCCCCTCCCTGGACGAGCCCTGCCTTTCCCAAAGTGTGTTCCGTGGAAGCCCCGCCTCACCCCTACCCCGGGGGCTAAGCGCTCCATGTGCCCTTGAGTTTGGGAAGGAACCTTGAAAATGCAATTTACTTAAGGCTCTGAGACGTCCTGCGGTGGTTTAGTTTATGCCGGAGCTTCCCAAACTCGTTCTCCGCAGAGCCCTCCTCGGCTTCCCTGTGCGCCCTGCCCCCATCGTGAGCGTGGTGTCAGGTGCCCCCACCTGTTCTCCAGCGCCCGTAGGTTCTCCTTCAGCGCCCTCTGCTGCTCCCTGAGCTGACGGTTCTTGGCACAGAGCTCCTCCGCCCTCTGGGCGTCCCTGCGGGGGGAGGGGGGGGACGGGCCGCGATGCGCATGTTGCTCTGCTGGGGCCCCGCGCTGCCCCGCCAGCCTCTCCCTGGCCTGGGACTGCCTTGAGAAGTGGGGCCTCGCAAGGGCAATGCCAGCACGCCCAAGCGAGAGTGTTCGCGGCCTCCCTGGGGACCCTGTCTCATCCATGGTGCCACCTGCAGCCTCATCTGTGCAATGGGGACCTGGGGAGCTGGCCCGCGGGTCTCCCAGACTCACGACGAGTCCTCCTGTTGATAATGATTGGTCCCGGAGGCGCCCTGCATGGACGCGGCTTGCCCAGCCCCCTGGAGGGTCCCTGTTCACTGGGGGAGGGGCTTGGACCTTGGACCAGAGACTCCCCCAACCCCCAAGCTGAGCCTCAGTGTCTGCTTCTGCATCACAGCTGGTGGTAGTTCCAGGGCTCTGGGGCTGCGGGCGTGCCCGTGAGCGGCTGGGGAGCCGCTCCCCTTCCCACCTGCCGGCCCAGGGCTTGTCCTCACTCACCGACACCTCTCTGAGTTCAGTTCCAGAAGCTTGTTCTGCAGGCCTGGAGGAGCGAGGAAAGGAGCAGAGGGTCAGGCCCAGCCGTGCTGCCACCCCTGCAGCAGAGCTGGGGCGTTTCCTGTCCCCGGTTGTCTGGCAGGGCACTCTCCAGACGCCTGCCGCCTGGGTCCCCTCACTGACTCCCTGAGGTCGCCCCCTGGGCGGGCTCCCAGTCTGCACCTGCTGACAGCTTCCGCCCCCTCTCCTGGCTGCCTGGGTCCCGGTCCGGGCCCAGCCTCTCCCCTCCCTGGGGTCTCTGGCTCTGGTGTCTGTCTGGAGATGGGGAGGGACCCTGATGCTGGGAGTGACCAGCTACCTGGCCAGGTCCCAAGAGGAATGTTTTTTGGGTGCTGCCAGAGTTGAAATAAAATGGGCCCTTGGGGGAGACCCCAGCAGACCCCCTCTTCCCCACCTCATTGTGGTCTGGCTTGGGCCCTAGGCTAGCCCAAGCAGCCCCTGCCCCTCTGGGTCTCTGGGGGAGGTGACCCAGGCCCTCTCGGGCTTCAGGGTGTGAGCGCTCTCACAAAGGTCTCGGGAGGGTGTGGCCCGGGCACTGGAGTGAAGGGAGGGTGTGGCTGCAGCCCTGTTGCCGGCATCGGACTGGGCAGACCTCAGCCTGTGTGTCCTGGAGGGGAGCAGAGGGATTTCAGCTCAGCGCCCTGGAAAGCTCTAGACAGGCCTCTGGAGCCTTGAGATCCCATTGCTAGTAGGGAAGTAGGTGACCTCGCTTTTGGAGGACACTGAGGTCCCCACCTTGGGAAAGGGGCCGGTCTTGGCCAGAGCTTCTCGGGGTCTGTGACCAGGCTGGCTTTTGATTTTTGCTCTGATGCTAGCTGACCATTCAGGGACCACCCCTCCAGGGCTGCGATCGGAGGGGCTGGTCTGAGGCTGGGCTCCTGACCGCTTGCAGCTCTGGGCTCTGGGTCAGGGCTCCCCTTCTGGGCCTGGAAGGCAAGGTCCCCAGGTTTGGCGAGATTTGGAGGCGATGTGTGGGAGCCCCCCGGCCTGGCTTTGGCCCTTAGACTGCTGTCCGGGTGAGGGTTTGTCCATCCCGAGACGCTCACCCGTGATCTCATTCTCATGGACGTCCTTCAGCCGGTTTAGCGACTCCATGAAGCTCTCCATGGCTTCCCGTGGCCCTGGCCCTGGCCCAGGCCCCTCTGTGCTCCAGGTGTAGGAGTGGCCCCTTGGGCTCTACTGCCCCTCCATTTCCAGCCTATGGAGCAGAAAGTGCGGAGACGGTCACATTAGCTTAGGAAGGGCCTGTGGGATGTAGGGTTCAGCAGTAGCCTGGAGAGGAGGTGGGTGCCGGTCCCAGGGGGTGTGGGAGTCTTGTCTTGTGACCACCCACTGGGCCATGTCCATACCTGAGGGGCACATAGAGGGATGGGACATTCTCGCTTAATCTCAACTCCCTAATCCAGTCCTAACAGCAAAGCAGATGCCTGAAGACGCCAGCTCCCGCTTGGTGCTGGGGCCACGACGGTGCCTGCGACGCGTGTTGACGAGGCCCCAGACCGGAGATGCCCATGCCTGCCCGCAGCCAGCGGATCAGTCAGCCAGGGCGCGTTCATCCGATGGGAGAGCCCACTCGGTGGGGTCCAGGTGCCCGCAGTGGCATGGATGGCCCCGTGGGGCCATGGCGGGGGCTTTGGGGGCCGGCTGGTTGTTTCCCCTGCAGGAGCTGGTGACTGTGCATAGGTGGAACTCTACCCAGCCGCCCCTTGTGGCCTGGGCCCTTTTTCCTGCCTGTGTTTCACCTCCATGAAGTGTTTGCTAAAAATTAAGAGTGTGGGGCTGCGAGCCTAAGCTGGGAGCTGGACAGTGTGACCACCGGGAGCCCTGGCCCCTCTGAGCCGCGCTTTCTTCCTTCGGGCAGTGGCCACGGTGCCTGTCTAGGGGGCACTGGTGAGTATCCTGCAGGGTCCCATGGGGTCCAGCTCCTCGGAGCTGGGTGTGAGGCCGGGGCTCAGCCCAGCAACAGCTTCCTCACCGTGGTGCCAGGCGCCACCCTCCACCAGGCGAGAGCCCCTCAGTCCTTGTGGCAGACCTCTGGTGGTGGGTACCGAGGCCACCATTGGCCGCCACTGTCCAGCTCTGTGTCACCATCTGTCACAGAGCTGGGAGTCAGACGCACAGCTCACAGAGCCAGGTCAGCGCAGGTGCCACCAGCAAAGACCCCCGCCATCAGCGACCCCTCTGTTCCCTCCTTGAACTTAGCCTGAGGAGCCCTGGGGGTCAGCTGACCCTGAAAATGAGCGTCTGGGGTCCTGGCACTCCCGACTCATCTGCCGGCTCCCTACCCTGATCTGTCAGCAGCGGTTCTCGGTTTGCCTTCTGTAGACTCCCGGAACCTGCCCCAGAACCTCACCTTTCTTTCTTTCATGGCGCCCGCCTGGCCCAAGCCACCACCCCACTGCTGGTGCACTGCCGGCTCTGCACTGGCCACCCCAGCTTCCAGGCCTCTCCCCAGGAGGCAGTCTCTGCGCAAGCCCTGGGGACCTCTGCTCAAAGCTCCCTGCGGGAGGCCATGCCTGATTCCGCCCCCCCCCTCCCCGGGCACACTGAAGGAGGGGTGTGGTCTCGCTTGCATTTCAAAGTTTGCCCCGAGACGGGAGTGTTTGCAGCAACAGTCTCCAAACTGGAGACCCTCAAATGCCTGCTGGCGAGTGTCCTGCGGTGGCAGGAGTGGTGATGTCCCATGCCATTACGGTTCCCACACCGCAGAGTCGGGGTGCCCGCTGTGGGAATCACTCACCGGGAGTGCGGAAGAGGCACAACTGCTCTGGGCTCTCAGAAGTTGGGGTGGCGGGCACCCTGGGGCGGTGGGATCAGTAACTGAGGCGAGCAGGCCCTGTGATCCCACGAGAAGCCAGGGGCCAGGGCGAGCTGCCTGAGAGGAGACTGGACAGTGGAGCCTGGCTTTCAACTGGGTCCTCGAACCCCAGGTCAAGGTCAGAGTACCGGGGAAGCCTCGAGGCTGGGACCAGCAAGAGGACAGAGCGCAGTCCTGCGTCCTGTGCTGGCCACGGGAGCTGGCGGGAAGGGCCAAATGGGGTGTGCTGGGGGGGTGAGCGGTGGGAAGGTGGGGCTCCCCAAACTCACTGTAGACCTGCCTGGCGCCAGGGGAGTGGGGGCGTCGCATGACAGCTCTGTGTCGGGTGGGTGAGGGCTCTGGGAACAAGGGGGGCTCGGGAGGGTCCCCCTCCTCGAGGCCGGGAGCCAGAGGGATGTCCTGGCAGGTTAGGGGAAAAGATGCTGAATTGCAGAGGCTGGGGGAGACCAGGGCTCGAGCAGGGTGTACCTGATAACCCCGGCCCCACTTCCTGAACCCACCTAACCCTGATGACATTGCGAGGAGCCCACTTTCCAGATGGGGAAACTGAGGCCCAGAGAGATCAACTCATGCTCCCTGGCCACCCAGTGGCAAGCAGGGGTCGGGGCTTGAATTCACTCTGGCGCTGAGGATGTGCCCTCACTGCCTTGGACCAGGTACGCACTCCAGGTGGCCCTGCTCTGCTGGCTCTGCACTTCTTTATTTTGCGGTGGGGCTTCTGGGAGATAAGACTGTGAGGCCCCCCCCCCCAGGCCCCCTCCCGCCGTGGGCTCGGGCTCCCTGCGGGCTGGGGGAGGTTGGCCAGGGAGGGGCCGAGCCACTGCGCCTGAAATTCCACCCAGACCCGTCTGTCAGGCGGTTCTTCCGCATCAGAGCCGGAGCCTGCTGCCTGCTGCCGCATGTGGGCTGGGCCAATGCTCGTAAAGGAGACGCCCCAGGGAGCCTGCAGTGCCCCTGGGGCTGGGAGAGGCTCTGTGGACACCAAGTCTGAGTGAGAGACCAGCACCGTTCAGTGTGGTGTGGAGGCCCTGTTGGTAACGGCCCAGGGCACCCTCTGTCCCCCACACCCTGGCTCCTCTCTGTATCCAAACCATCACAAGCCACCCAGGGTCCCGCCCGGCTGCCCCTCTCGGGGTCTCTGATGGGTAGGGGGAGACACCCTCCTGCATGGTGGGCAGGGAAGCAGCATGGACATGGGTCCTGGGCAGGATGCGCAAGCGGCTGGGGGCACAGCTGGAAGGGATGCATCCTGCTGGGAGCCCCGCATTTCCCAGGGAGGACCAGGGCCATCCAGGCCCTGGTGACAGTGCCATGGGGGTGGTGTGACTTCCCTGGGCAGGCAGGTGACAGAAGGGCGTTTGGCCTGTGAAGTAGACAGTCTCCTGGGGCAGCCCCTGTCCCAGCCTCACCCTCGGTGCAGGGAGGGTCCAAGGAAGCGGCAGGAGGAGGAGGGAGGCGGGCCCCCACCCGAGGTGGATGTGGTGGCTGTGAGTAGGAAGAATCCCCACTGTAGAAGTGCACAGGGTCTCCTGCCAGGGCTTGGGGGCCCAGCCCTCCCCGGTGGCTGCGTTGTGTTTGCCAGGTGTGCAGAGCTGCCGGGTGGGGCGCTGGGGGTTCAGGGAACTCCAGGCAGGAGGGCTCTCCCCCAGGCCTGGGGTGGGGCTGCAGTGGTGCTAGGATGAGGGGGCAGGCCTGTGGGGTAGGGCTCCGGGCTGCTGCCTCTGGGCCGGGGGGCCTGCGTACAGGGGAGGGTGGCCTGAGTTGCTGGCTGGGGTGGGGGTGGGCCTGGGGGCAGAGGCCTGAGAGCTGCTCCCCAGGGTCCTGCGGGGATCCCAGCCCCTCCTACTCGGGATGCTCAGGCTGGGAGGAGCCCCGGAAGGAGCAGGTGGGAAGGAAGGGCTGGGGGTCAGCTGCGCCAGTGACCCTGCCCACCTGCCACTCACACAAGGCAGAGGACCTCCAAGCCCACAGGCCCCTGTCCTGCCTTCACCCTCTGCGTGACCGGGACAGGCGCTTTACCTCTCTGAGCCTCAGTTTCCTCATCTGGGGGGTAATTCCACCCCCATATCAGGCTGCTGTTAGGCTCCACCAAGTAACGTGTGTCCAGGTGACACGTCCGGGTGGCGAGTACTCAGCACTGGCAGGTGCTCAGTTAACTGCGGGTGGAGACCCTGCGTCCACCGCGTGCAGTGCCCCCACCAGGACCTCCCCCACAGGCGGCCCCAGGAGTCCAGAGGTGCAGCTTACAGGAGCCCCTTCTCCCTTGGACAAGTTCAAGTGCCATTGCCACAAACGCCCTTTGCAGGAGGACAAGAACGCCCCCTGACCCTGAGTTCAGGGCAGAGGTCTCAGAGTCCAGCAGTGATGGCGCACACTCGCTCACCGAGCAGACACTCACAGGGTCCACCGGATCTTGGTGGCCGTGTCTGGGGGAGGTGCCCCCTGGACCCCCTGCACAGAGGAGGCCACCGAAGCGCCAGCTGTGGCCCTGGCCCGCGGCGGTGAGGCTCTTGCTTTGCTCCTGGGTCCGCCAGGGCCCCAGACTCCTCACTGCCTGGCCGCCTTCCCTTGTTGGAACCTCTTCTCCAGCAGGTCCCTCGGGTGCAGAAGCACCCAGCCCCCGGTTATACTCCTTCTCTGCCACTCATCTGTCCACCCACCTTCCCATAACACAAGGACAATGACACAGCAGTAACGATAGCGGGGGCCTCGGTTTCCGGAGCGTCCAGTCAGCCAAGCACTGGGCCGGGGCCCTACGCGCTGTGTGGCGTCTACCGCAGGGGCCCTGCAACGTCCCAGAGCTCCTCTGAAGAAGCGGAGTGATCCCAGGGACACTCAGCCTGCCTGTCACCAAGGGACCATGCAGGGCCAGGCACACCGTCCAAGCCCTTTGAATGTTCTTGGCACGAGCATTTATGGAGCACCTGCTGTGTGCCCAGGCTCGGCCCACACGTGTGATTGGAGCTCGCCCGGCCTTCTGAGAAGGCTCTGACTGTCCCATTCTACAGATTCAGGCACTGAGGTTCGAAGCAGGTAAGAGGCTCTGGTGTCTCTGTGTGGCCTCAGTGGTGATGGGCGAAGCCCCTTCCCTGGCAGCTTTAGCCAAGTCACTGTCCCGGCTGTGCCTCAGTGTCTTGGGCCACAAAACAGACGGTGGGGTGTCCTGGCCCAGCTCCTGGAGGCTGGAGGGAGTCTGCGCCACCACCTCGGGCTGCCGGGTCTCATCGATGTGGTGGGCATCCAGTGCCCATCGACCACAGGTGGTCAGGGGCCCGCCTGCCAGCCCCCA